GTAATTGTGTGTGTGTGTGTGTGTGTGTGTGTGTGTGTGTGTGTGTGTGTGTGTGTGTGTGTGTGTGTGTGTGTGTGTGTTGACATTAGATTTGAGGAAAAGTGACTGCCGCTGCGGTGGGGGCCAAACCCCTAGCAAACCCGGGTGACCAACAGAGGGGCGTCAGGCTTTGCAGCGTTTTGGCCGTGGCTCGGGTGAGGGACCGCTGTCGCAAAGCAGTGCACGAGGGGGCGAGCTGGCGTGCCGAGGGCAAGCTGGCGAGCGAATGCATGCCGGCGGCGCATGCTCGCAACCGATTGCGCGGCTGCGGCCAGCGAGTTGCAGTCACTGGTGGTAGGGGCCGACCCATCTGACCCCTGGGCGCTTTGATTAGCCCTGGACAACAAATATCCCCAAATCGGCTGCCGACGAACTGCCGGCCGCGGCGAGGGTCTGAAGGGCGCTTCCCCAATAAGCGGCGCACCGCCATGGTCTCGAACCCGGGGTTGAAGGCGCGCCCGCTCATCACTGACAGCCGCAGCCAGTCGAAGCAGAAGCGCGACCCCGGGGTCGCCAGCGCGGCCAGGCTCTCGAACAGCACGCGCACGGCCTGCGCGGTGGTGCGGTTGGCGGCGTTGATCAGACGTTCAAGAGGATCGCAGGGGAGGTGGCGCTTCCGTGCGATTCTGATGAGAAAGTCTACAACTAAAGGCAAGGGCACTGCTGGAGAGTGCAGGCAGGCAAACCTTGGAGCTGCACGCGCACGCCCACAAGACAGCACTACAAATACTTCAACACACGCTAAAGTGTGCCAAGGAAATCTCCCCAGCTCGCCTGGGGTGGAAGGTAGTAGATGAGTCCCTCCGCCAGAAAGATTGTCCGCTTTGATGCATCAAACCCGCTGCCCGCCAGAGCGTCAGACAGGGACACCTGTGAAAGGGGGGCAGGGCGTTCGAAACGCGGATCGTCAGGGAGTACGTGGTAGGTGCGGGGGCGTGAGCTGGCTGCCGCGCTGGCAGCGAGCTGCGCCCGCCTGCACGGGTGCCATCAACCACGCGCCATGCCGTCTCGCTGAGAACCCCATCCACGCCATACAGGACCAGCCACGGATATGGGTAGCAACATGGGCGTGTCGCTACCCAGCGACGGCAGTATGTGGCACCACAGGCGCGTCGCGGCAAGAAGGGGGTGGGCGGGGGCGTGATGACGTCATGCGGCGTCACACCTCCGACAGGTCGGCGGCGATGAACGCGGGCCGGGGGCAGCGCTCGGCGTCGGGCAGGCAGGCGGCCACGAGCTCCTGGGGATGAGTCATGGTTGAAAACGATGATGCGGCGGTTGACACGAAGCGGTTGCGAATCTCGAGGGCAAAACTGTACCAGCTTGCGGTACAGGCCGAAGCAAACGTCAATACACTATGGAAACCTGCGAGACTGGCCGTGATGCTGGCTGGTGGCAACAGCGGGGCTTGTCGAGACATCAGTACGGGGGGCCTGGGCGAGGGGGCCGCGCGCCGACGGCTCATGAACGCGGCCGCGCGCCTTCTTGCTTGCAGACGAGTGTGGCAGGTCGATCTCGAAGAACTTCACGCCAGGCCGGTGCAGGCGGTACGCACGGGTGTCGTAGCCTGGCGGGGTGGGAGGGCCGGGCTCCCCTCGGTCACAAGGCGCCACCCTCATACAAGATGCACACGATCTCGACTCAACCGCTGTCAACCTGACGCAAGCCCGGGCCTTGGGGATTCCCGGCTCCCAAGACAGCCCCCCCCTGCCTGCCCTCAAAGACCCCCCTGCCTGCGTCGTTTTGCGCCCGTGCGCCCCCGCCGCCCGTCACCCGTCATCCGTCACCGGTCCATTACCCACCCGCCGCGATGACCACGACCTGCTCCGCCCCGCCGTCGAGGGCGGCCGCCACGCAGCCGTCCAGCCAGGCGGTACGCACGTCCACGAAGCGCCCGATGCCCGGGACGCCCACGACCGGTGCCACCATCAGGCGGCCCCGCAGGTCGCCCTTCCTGTGTTCATGCATTTTTGTTGATGAAAACAGTGCTGTGATGTTTGGATCTGACGCCGTCCTGAGGCTTATTTTGCACAAAGGGGCCTGGTCCCAACATCGTATGCCCTCAACACTAGAGCCAACAGCAATCAGTTGACACGACAGGTTAACACTATGCATTTGCGCCAGGGCTGGCGACAAGGGGGGCCCCTGTCAGCTGCGCTTGCCGCGTGCAGGCAGGACAGCGGCCAGCCTCGCTCCCCCAAGCGCCCGTGACTGCACCACCCCGGGCGGCGCTGCGCCGCCCCGGCAGCACGGCGGCCCCGCCCGCTGCGGCCGCGGTCAGTGACGCATCACGAGTACCCGTGTGACAAGGGGTCGCAATTGCCTGGCCGTGGCCGCGGCGCCGATGTTGGAACTGGGGGGCGACCCCTCGCCGGCACTCAGGGCGCTGCGGCCTGACGCGCCCCGCAACATTACGGTGGGCGCGGCCCGTGCCCGCCGCGTTTGGGCTCGGAGCGCGGGAGTGGGAGCACACAACACCTACCACTCTCGCGCCCCGTGCCGTTATCGCGCCTAGGGGCACCCCGCAGGCAACCTAAGGTGTCACCAAAAGAAGGACCCGGCTCCCCAAACACGCCCCTCCCCCCAAAACGGGCGCGATCCAGCTCCGACGCACACCCAGAAACGGTGGGGTGCCAGCCGTTCACAGTCCGCCGGCCTTGATCATGGCGCCACCGACAGCCCGGCAACATGTGGTCCACGCCTGCACCCCGTGCCCAGATTTGCGCCATAGGGCACCGCGCATCACCCTCAAGGTGCGCCCCCCCCCCCAACAAAATCAACGACCCCGGCCCTCCCAAACAGGGATGTTTGGTACGATATGATACGATACGGTATTTTTCGATATAATACGGTATTATACGTTGGGCAGGGTGGGGGCCCATAAAATACGGTGAAAAATACGGTTGGCATCTGGTGGGGTTGCACGCACGCAGGAACCCCGCGCGTGCGCGCCGCAGACGCAGGTGTCGCGCACACACATACTGCTGGCGTGTGTGGTGAAAATTGCTTCGCCTTGAGGCACAATCTGGCCAATTGTGCCCCAACACGCGTGCCCGTGCCTGGCAACACGTGGCTGCACTGCAGCTTTACAGGGTTTTCCTCCTCTCATTTGACAAATCTCACTATAATCTCGGCGTTATCTAAATGTCTTACGGTTCTAGTTGATATATAAAGACCGAAACCAGCCGAAACAGCCCCCATCGACCGGGGTTGGAAGCTGTAACTTTTTGTTACACGCCAAGGGGCAATAATACGGTAAAAATACCGTATAATACCGTATTTTATCGTATAATACCGTACGTTTCACCGCTGAGTCACCGTATTGAACATCCCTGCTCCCAAATATCCCCCTCCCCTCCCCCACACACAAACCAAAACCCGCAATCCAGCTCCGCTGCTGACCCAAAGCGGAGGGGTAACATCAAGTGCAATGCAAACGGGGTGCCGCACGCTGGCAGTCCGCCGGCCTTGATCATGGCGCAATAGTCCGGCATCATGTGGTCCACTCCAGCACCCCGTACCCAGGTTTGCGCCATGGGGCACCCCGCTTTCAACCCCCCAAATGCCCCCAATCGACGACCCCGGGCCCCCGTACGTC